TCGATGTAATATATCGTGAATCCCCCACGGCGGATCCAGGCCATTTGCGAGTAGTGACTTTGGGAGTAGTGGAACGCGTTTGCCTAAAATCCCATCGAAAACAGAAAGGCGAAAATGCAGCAGCCATTGAAGTGTCAAACCAGTCGGTCGATCACCTGCGCCCATAAGGCAGGTGGGATCTGCTGGCACGCCAGCCGTCCCTGTACGATGCCAATACAGAATGGTCGCGGGGCGGCCGCGCATGCTCCAAATGTGGAGTGGTGGCCCTCATGGGGTTTGTATGATTCCGGGTTGGCCGCCGGCCGAGTAGGGGAGGGGGTTGTAGATTCATAGGGAACAGTGATGAACCCGTCCCCGAAGGGGAAGCAGGGGGCTGAAAGAGGAACATCCCTAGACCACCTACGCCCTGAGTGCTGGTAGGATTTAGGTTCGCGCGCATGTGCACAGCCATCAACATCCATCCAGCGGCGAAGAGGCACAGCACACAACACCCTGGGGAAACCAGACAATCACGACGGTACCAACACCGCGATACCAGCGATGCCACATGGTATACAACAGCCTTGGACAAGGAATAGTGGGATTCGCAGGAAGATTGTGTTATCAGCACCTCTGGAATTCACCGTGGAGGAACTCTGAGGCTGATCAGATGAGCGGCCACGGTCGCCCCGCGTAAGCCGCTAGCCGGACAGTCCTTCCTGGGGCCGTTGGACCCTTCGCACGTTGTTAGTTCGTTCCTCGCTTTCCTCCCCCTCCTCCTCCTCCTCCTCCTCCTCCTCCTCCTCCTCTTTCTCCTCCTCCTCCTCCTCCTCCTCCTCTTCTCCTCCTCCTCCTCCTCCTCCTCCTCCTCATTCTCCTCTCTTTCCTCCACTCTGCAGGCGTGCGCGTGGAGCAGCCCGCTGCAGGGCGCGCTGTGGTCCGTGCTGGCCGAGTTCCTTGGCCAGGGGGGGGGGGCGGGGGCGATGGAGGGGGGCGAAGGGCGGATCGGTACGATCGACACGGGTCGAGGACACGGCCACTTGCAGATTTGGTGCTCGCGCTGTCAATGATCTGCTCTCCCAGGGCTTCGCAGCGTCGTCCGCACCCTGCTTCTGCATGTCCGAGCTCCGCAGCTGCCTGCACGCCCTCCCGTGCTCAGCTGCGCTCTTGCTCTTATGGACACTGCGCAGGCCTGACGAAAGCTTGAGTGGTCCCTTCCAATGTGTGGGTCGAGGAAGCGCAAACATGGATCACACGCTGGTCGTTGAAAGCAGGTGTTTGGGGATGCCCTAGTCCCACCCTACTTTGGGCGCCTTCCCACTGCACGAGTCTGGCGCGTTCATTCCTCTTCCCACCTCTGCAGGGGGCGGGCGGGAAGCCAATCTATTTCCAACGCATTCCTACTCCATGCTTGTACCTACTTCTTCCCACCGACGGGTAAGGCGCACGGATTGGCGAAGGGCCCCGTCCCCATACGAACGAAATCGGCGCGCGCTGTCGCGACATGGGGCGGCACTGGCCTCACACGTCGGGGGCACCTTCCCCGAGCCAGGGACCTGGCGCCCACGCGCCCGATCCACGGACCGCTAACCCATGTCAGCGTGCGCCTGAGACATGGCTACGCAGAGAAATGGGCACGAGACGGGGTCGAGGGGGCCGAGGGGCGTGGCTTCGAGCGTCGCGGGTCGAGGTGCCCCCCCCCCAGCCCTCTTGCACTCGGTTGGTCGAGGGTCGAGGCGCCCCCTCCCCGGCCCTCCTTCCGTTGGCTCTTCCCTCGCGCTCCGTGGGGCTCTCTGCTGCTCCCCCCCCCAAGACTGGCAGCGGCTCCTGCCCGCTGGGAACAGGATTCGCTGTCGGCGTCGTCGCGGGCGTTGTCCGCTGGACTACAGTCGGGCCTTTGAAGAAGGAGCCCTTCTCGCTGCGGAGGGGCTCGATGGCCCTTGATTGTTGTACAGTTTGCCGTCGATTTTCCTGAGGTCTTCCATGGCAAATCGACTGTTTAACTCATGGGAAAAAGGGGCCTCGCTCCTTATTTTGGGTTCCTTATGTCAACGCCCGGACTGTCCAGTTAAGTCGGGCCTGTCCCTCTACAGGAGGAATATTCAGAAATAGTCAAACCGATCATATGGGGACGATGTTTCGATTATGGGTTCACCATGTTTGAGCATGTTTTGGCTATTTCTTATTTTTCTCAAAGAATCCGCCTCTAGAGGGACATGCCCGACCTAAGACTACAGGTCACTGGCCCAACAACGGCAACCGTCGGTTCTCGACGACATTCGCTGCTGGGTATCGCGCTCATTTTTCTCCATACCCATCTCGGGCGTCCAAAGCGGAGGGCGGCATCGAGGACGGGGGTGCCGGGCAGGGCTAGGACCAGGATGAATATGTCGCCCCAGAGCATTCCCCGGAGCGCTCTCAGAGCGTTCGGGGGCGCACCAGAGCGGCCCCGCGGCGTCCGATGCACCTCCCAGAACCGCCGCACCGCAAAGAACACCAAAGGTGTCTTGGTCCTGTCTTGTCTCGGCCCCTTGGCTTCGATTCCGAACGTTCTCTCACAGGTTTTCGGGGCACGGGGCGGTTGCCGTTGGCTGCGCCTGCGGGCGTCCCGGGGTGTGCAGGCGTCGTCCCGACCTGCAGCCTGAGGCCCGCGATGTGGCCCGAAGGATGCATGGAGCGTTCCTAAAACGAGCCTTGCCTTCGAGGATCGAAAGAGGTGCATCTCTTCCTCGGCGGAAAGCGGCGCCAGGCCGGCGGAAGGCGGCGGAAGGAAAATTAGGCCGCCTCCGCCGGCGGAAGACTGGCGGAAGGCGGCGGAAGTAAGAGAGGCGCCCCCAAGAGATGACAGTGCGCTTGGGCTCAGGGTTTCCGGAATCGGAGCGGAGGGTTCGGGTTAAGTCGGGCACGCTCATCTACAGGAGGAGCATTTAAAAATAGTCAAAAAATGGTCGGGGGGCGGATTCTTCTATTATGTTTAGATTTGTTCGAGCATGTTTGGAGTATGTTTGATTTTTCGTTCAGAATCCGCCTGTAGGGGGAAATGTAAAACAGGGCTAGGATCGGGATAAATCGCTCCAGAGCGTTCCGGAGCGCTCTCAGAGCGTTCCGGAACGCTCTGGAGCGGCCGCGGCGCCCAATGCATCTTCCAAACCCGCCGATTCTCAGAGATTTCGAGTTATTCCGATCCGATTTTGTCCCGATCTTCGCGTCGTTTTAACATGCCCGACCTGAGGTTCGGGGAGGGAGAGATCGGAGCATTGGTCGAGACAACGGCGGCCCTCTCTGGCGTCTCGAGTTCCCTTCGTGCTCCTTGAGGCTCCTCGCCGCCACGGCTGGCGCCGCTTCGAAAACCTGGTCGGGGGACGGGCCCCGGGAGGAGTCCGACAGCTCCTTTCCTCGCCTTGGCCCAGTGTTAAGTCGGGCGTGTCCCTCTACAGGAGGGATATTCAATAGTCAAAAAAATAGTCTGGGGACGATTTTTGCTATTTTTGAATATTTGTGGACTAAGTCTGTTTTATATTTCGTTCAAAATCCGCCTGTAGGAGGACATGCCCGACCTAATGCCCATCCCTGGGGCTGCTAGGGTGGAAGGTCAGCCCAGCGCTGCGCCCTATTCCGAAAGAACGCTGGCCCAGGCTAGGAGGCCACCTGCGAAGCCTACCCCACCACCTCACGATTTCGAAGGGGGGAGGTGGGGTTCACTTCGTCCGGGACCTCCCGAGGGAAGCGAACCCCACCTGCCCCCTTAGAACTCGTGGGGAGGTGGGGTACAATAGGGTTCGCCTGTGGCCTCCGACAGGTCTCCTGGGCGGACCGTCTCCTAAATCATCGGCTTCACTCGCGCCGGATCCCGTCCATTCCGGCACGCTCGGAGCTTAAGAGACGGGGGTCAACGCAAACGGGGGTCAGCCAGGGCACCGGATCCTGCAGGATCCTCCGAGGGAAGTGAACCCCACCTGCCCCCTTAGAAATCGTGGGGAGGCGGGGTACAATCGGGTTCGCCTGTGGCCTCCTACAGGTCTCCTGGGCGGACCGTCTCCTGAATCATCGGCTTCATTCGCGCCGGATCCCATCCGGCCCAGCACGCGCGGCCCGCTGGCCCCCGCCCCTCCCACATCTGGGGCAGGAGGCCGCGGGGGACGGGGCGGGGATCGCGCACTGCCTTCGGCTTTCGCTTGCCTCTCGGAGGCGACGATGGGGGCTAATTAATAGCCCAAGGGGGGAGCACTACGTGTATCCAGGGGTGCCGATGATCTATGTCGTCGACAAGGCTCCCGGGCGAATGCGTGTAATGCCCGCCCCATGGGCTCTCCGCCCCTGTCGTCGCCGTCGAGTCTTTGATGCCCGATGCTTCTGCCTATAGCCCTCGCGCTGGACCTGCTGCGGCCCCTCGGCGAGAGCTGCAGGGCCCTCGGGTGGCTGGCCAGTGATGGAGCGGGCTCCACGAAAGAACCACAGGCCTTATGATGTCCCACCCTACTTTAGCCCGGATCACCAGAAAGAATCTCGAGCACCAAGAAAGCACCGAAACTCGAAGGTTTTCACGTGTCAGGCCTTGGGAGACATTCGTTCGACACTGTTTCGCAGCAAAAAAGCACCGAACTCGAAGGTTTTCACGTGTCGGGCCTTGGGAGACACTCGTTCGACACTATTTCGACACTATTTCGACACTTTTCCGGGTGCTCGAACTTATTGATGGGATGCGGTGCTTAAGTACGATGGGAGCAAAATAACACAGGCCTACCAGTCATGCGTTCTGGGCTCGCTGCTTGACCAAAAAGTGTTCCCGCGAGGTACGGGCCACCCTTATCTGTGACCCATTGCGAGCGGGTCCGCTCGACGCTGGCGTACAGGACACCCCCGCCGGGATCCACCTGGCGGCAGACATGCCTTGAATTCTGAGCCCCAGCCCGCGACCAAGAAGCCTGAGCTGCAGGGGTGGGGCTTTCACACGTGGTTGTCCATCTCGGGTTAGGTCGGGCAGGTCCCCCTACAAGCAAATTCTGGACGAACGAAAAATAGTCCAATCGAATGCCAAAATTATTTTCGAACATTAGCCCCAAAACGTCCCCATGTTTTTACTATTTTGGGATCTTCCCCCTGCAGAGGGACGTGCCCGACTGAAACCTCGGGGGCGCGAAGATCCGTGGCCCCGCTTCGCGGTCTGGGCCGCAGCGCGGCCCTTCCCCGGTGCCGCCCGAGAGCGCCCGAGGACCGTCGGGCAGGTCGTTCGGCACGCCCAAGAGAAGGAGTCGGCGGCCTGCCGGCAGGTGCCCCACTGGGGTGCCTTCTGGATCCGACGCAGGCAGCTATGCACCACCACCGTGCCAGGCCGGGGCCGTCCCGGGCCCCAGGATGCTGCGCCGAGCCTCCTGGCCTCGGCCAGGAGGGCGTATACACCGTGCCAGGGCCAGGACGGTTCTGGCTTGGCACGGTGGTGGTGTACAGATGCCTTCTGCGCATGATCCCCTGATGGCCCCAGGGGCCCACGGAAGCTCTGGGGTACCCCAGGGCCCTCAAAGATCGACGGAGCACGTGCCCCATGCGTTCTTATCTTATGTCTTATCGCATGCGTCCATTGTGTTTCGGCCGTGCGCAGAGTCGCTGTATTTCGGCCACGCGCAGAAGGAGGGCAGGGGGAGGGGGGAAGGCTTCCTAGAAGCACCCCTGCTTCTGAGAAGGCGCGGGCCTGATCTGTAGATCCAGGGTCAGCGCCTTCTCAGAAGCAGGCTCCTCCCAAGAAGCCGTCCCCCCCCCCTCCCCCTGTCCCCCTTCTGCGCGCCGTCGAGTATTCCTGTGCTCGTGCATCGCGCGGCGGGGCGCACGAAGAGGGCGGCGGAGGCCCAGGAGGCGCAGGCAAGTGCGGGAGGCTAGTCGGGCTGACACGTCTGGGCGGGGGAGGCGGCGAGGAGGGCGCGTTGCCCGCGGTCCTCGACCTGGCGGGCGACGCCGCGCTGATGCAGCGCGTCGTCGCCAGCGTGGCGGACGAGGCGCACGGGGGAGCTGCGGGGCCAGCGCAGGATGTGGTGCTGCGCTGTGGCGCCACAGGTTTGCGTGCTGCCCGCAGTGGTGCTGGTGTTGACACAGTGGGTGTGGCAGCGAAGGCGCGGAGATGGCGACGGCGATGCAACTGCGCTGCTGCTTCTGCCTGTGCTGGCGATGACGACCGGCATTGACACGCAGGAGCCGAAGCTACCATGGCGGCTGATCCAGAACACGTGCTCTCTCCCATGCGCTTTGTGTGCGCGCAGCGTGATGGAAGCCGGGTGTCGCCGAAGCGAGTCTGATCGAGGTCACACGTGCGCGAGGGTGATGTTTACGGAGGGTGTGCGTGCTGTGTCCTGAACTTTCTCGCGTGACTCAAGCAGGCAGCGTGTCGTGAGGTTCTCTATTCCTTCCGCTTTCCCGCTCCCTTCCTCCTCCTCCTCCTCCTCCTCCTGCTCCTCCTCCTCCTCCTCATCTTCCTCCTCCTCCATCTTCCTCTTTCCTCTGCCGCCCGCGGTCGGCAGCGCCTCGTCCATGACAGCCGCCAGTATGCTCAGCCCGGTCAGTGTGGACGGCCAGCGCCCGTCGGCAACCCATGCTGAACATGGCTTTTGCTTATGGGGCATTTGCGTGGGGCACCAGCACTTGCACCGAAGGGGCCCCTGTTCGCATCCGAGGCAGTCGCCTTGCAGTGTCGTGGACCTCTCGGAGAAAGAGGAGAACAACTGACAACAACACTTGCCTAGACGGGTGTCTAAGCGTGGGCCCTAAAGAGTGAGCTCTTGCGCTCTGGATGTGCAAATTGTGTGGTGCATACAATGCGTGACACGCTATGTGGTGTAAGCCATGTGTTGCAGCCTGTGGGGCCCAACATGATGCAACCCATGTGGTGCACACCATGTAGTGCACGCTATGTGGTGCAAGATATGGGGTGCAATCTGTGTTATCTTGCTTTACAAGGTGCAACTCACGACTGCAATATATGGGGTGCGATCTGCGTTTGCATCCAGAAGCGTCCGCCAACGCACGAGGCGCCCACGAGGCTCGATCCGCCTCCGGAGCCGTCCAGCCCCCCCGACCAGTACCCCTCCCTGCGTTTTTCCATTGCGTCCGCCTCCACAGTCTCCGGCGCACCCAGATGCTCCAGGGACTCCGTTTTGCATCCCTCCTCCTCCTCCGAACCTGGGGAGCCAAGCCCAATTGCTGTTAAATCATAAGCCCGTCAGTGCAAGCACTGCTTGTGGAGCAACTCTTCCAGAGGTCCGCGCAGATTTCTTGGGTCGGCGCCGCGCACCTCCCCCGGCGCGCGCAGGGGCCCCGCAAGGGCCGCGGGAGCCCGAAAGCGGCGAAAAGCCTCCTTCGCTAAGTCGGGCGTGTCCCTCCACAGGAGGAATTTTCAAAACTAGTCAGAACATAGTCTTGACAATGTTTTACTTGTCAGTAATGTTTTGATGATATTTTTGCTTGTCGTCCAAAATCCGCCTGTAGGGGGACATGCCCGACCTGACTCTGGTGCGGGGGGGCCACAGGGGCCCCCCCCCCGCACTTGCCTGCGCGCTCGGACTCGGCCGCCCCGCGGCCCCCTCCAGCTGCGCACCCGCGGTCGCTCTTGTGCAGGGTCCTGGCCGACTCCGGGGCCCGTCTTGGGTCGGGCACGTCCCCCCTACAGGCGGGGCCCTGAAGAAGGCACCCTTCTCGTTGGGGAGGGGCTCGGTGTTCCTTGATCGTTCTGCAGTTTGCCTTCGGTTCTCCTGAGGTGTAATAAGGAAAATCGAAGTTCAACCTATGGGAGAAATGGGCCTCATTCCTTATTTGGATTTCCTTAGGTCAACGCCCCCACTGTACAGGCGGATTTTGGAAGAAAAGTGAAAAATAGCCCAGACATGCCCCCAGCAGATGGTCAAACAATAGTCCGAACACCGTCCCCTGATTATCTTTGAACGCTATTTTTGAATTCTCGCCCTGTAGAGGGACGTGCCCGACTCCAGGGCTCCCTCGCCCTCAGGGCCCCAGACGCCCGACCTCGTGCTCTGTCCACCCCTCCCCGTGGGCCAGCGTTTCGCCCTGCGCGTCGTTGCTTGCCGGCCTTTCCGGCCCGGCGGGGGGCCTCCTAGAGGCAAGACGTGGCAGCACGACAGACAACAGGCCGCCGTGGCTTCAAACAACGGCGCGTCGCCGCGCCGCTCGTTCCGACGCGCGGCCCTGCGCCTTGGGGAGGGCGCCGCGGCCACCAGGGCAAACGCCTCCTCGGGCGCTGTGGGCTCGCCGTGGGTTTGCCGCGATGCCGGCTGTACCTCCTTGGGGCGCGGGGCGCAGGGTTTATCGTGCGTTTGCCGCGGTGTCGGCGTCGCCCACTTGGGCGCGTCGAGGACAAGCGGCGCGGCGACATAACATCTTTTGTTACTTCTTCGCGACGCGAGGATCGAATGGCCTTCGGCCCATCCCGTCACCGTGCCCGGGTTGTTGGTACGAAGCCTAGTGGATGTGCGCTGGGACCTCGCGGGAGGCCTCCCGGGGGCTTCCTGGAGGCAGCTTGTAGGCCTCTCGGGAGCCGTTTTTGAGTGGGGGCCTCCTTGCGTCCTTGCGGCCTTGGGTGAGGCCTCTTCCAGGCCTCTTGGGGGCCGCTTCTGGTGGGGCCTCTTCGTTTGTGACTTCTCTGTCGCGGCTCGAGGACCTCGGGGCCCCGCTACCCTCACGCTGGCCGCGCGTGCGCGCGCCAGCCGGACGTGGGCTGCATGGGCTTCCTGTGGGGCCTCTTCTTGGCCTCTTGGGGGCCGCTTCTGGTGGGGCTTCTTCGTCTGCGACTTCCCTGTCGCGGCGCGAGGATCTCGGGGCCCCGCTGCCCTCCCGCCGGCCGCGCGTGCGCGCGCCAGCCGGACGTGGGCTGCATGGGCTTCGTGCGCCTGCTGTGCCGCGGCCCGCGCGCCGCCGCCCCGCCCCCGCGGCCTTTTTTTTGTTTGTCGGCAGCGGCGGCGGCCACGGTCCCTCCTCGAGGTCTCGTTAAGTCGGGCGTGTCCCTCTACACAGGGGGAATGTTCCAAAACAGTACAAAATACTCTGGGGACGATTTTTCGACCCTCTTTGGCTATTGTTGTATCCGCCTGTAGGGGGGGGCGTGCCCGACCGAAAGGTTCCTTGGCATCGCTCGGACGCGTGCGTTCTTTTTGTTGGGGGGGGGCCGTCGAGGAGCATCCTGGATCGTCTCGTGGAAGAGGCACGCACGGCACCGAAGAAGTGCAACGGGGCATGGGCGCCCGAGCCGCGGCGAGGTGCGAGGCCGGGGGTCCCCGTCCGCCCGCTGCTGTCGGCGGCGAGCGATGGGGGGGGAAGCGAGAAGAGGGGGGCCCTCTCAGAAGGCCGCGGGGCTTCTCGAGAGGCTCTCGCGCCTTCTGAGAAGTTGACGTGCTTCCGGGGAAGGCGTGGAGAACTGATCAGCAGGCCAGGGGGGTTCTGAGCCTTCTGAGGAGGCCCACCCCGTTTCATTTCCCCCCTCGCTCGCCGCCGATCGAAGTTCGAGGTTGGAGGACCCAGTCCACCTGCTTCTAGAAAGTAGCGAGCACCCACGCCACATTCATCTGTCCGCGCCTCCCCCTCCCCCCTATGTTCAGAAGTTTGCGGTGGGTCTGATGAGTTGCACTTCGACCGCAGGGTCCTCCACGCGTGCCAACTTTGAGTTTGGGGGTGGGAGTGTTCGGTAATTGTTGCCCCCTACCGAATCTCGGCTTTGGGCCAAATGCCGTTCTCACGTTCCAGCCGCAAGCGTCTACGGACACATCGGGTGTCGCTACGTCTGAAGATGCAGCCTGGGTGGATGCGTCACAGACCAGGCGGCCGTTGCGTTCGTCGCAGCACAGGGTCGGAGAAAGGGTCGATCCGTCTGCGGCACTTCCCTGTTCTGGAGCAGGTCCCACATGGTTACTCCAAGCTCGAGGTTCGAGGACAAGAGGTTCGGGGGCCTTTTTGTGGCCTTTCTCGGGGCCAAGTTCGAGGTTCGAGGACAAGAGGTTCGGGGGCCAAGTTCGAGGTTCGAGGGCAAGAGGTTCGGGGGCCTCTCTGTGGCCTTCCCGGGGGGCTCTCTCGTCGCCACGGCCCGTTTCCCCGCGCGATCCTGCCCAGGGCGCGCCCCGAGGAGCGTCGATGCTCGACGTCGCTGCCGATGTGTCCCTGTCTGGGCCCGGGGGTCAGGAGGAGGAGGAGGAGGAGGAGCAGGAGGAGGAGGAGGAGCAGGAGGAGGAGGAGATAGAGGAGGAGGAGGAGGAGGAGGGAGGAGAGGAGGAGGGGGGAGGAGGGGGAGGAGGAGATAGAGGAGGAGAGGAGGAGGAGGAGGAGGAGGAGGAGGAGCAGGAGGAGGAGGAGGAGGAGGAGGAGGAGGAGTTGTCCGACCCCCCGCGCCCGGACGTCTGGCGCCTCGAAAAAGGGCGTGGCGGGCCGTCGGTCGCCCGAGACCGGCCTCGCGCTTCGTGGCCCTCAGGGGGAGGTGCTTGGGACGAAGAGCTGGCCTTAAGTCGGGAGGAGAAGAAGAGGGGAGGAGGAGTGATGAGGGTAGTTGAAGTGGATGGGAGGTAGGGAAACTGAATAACGCTGGTGAAGGGTCTGGGGATGGGGGTAGAGACATATGAAGAAGATCCGCTGAAGACGACTGTACTTCTAGTACGATGAGGACGACGGCGATGACGATGTCAGCAGGACGAGCACGAAGAGGAGGGTCGGATCAGAATGAGCAGCCGGACCCAAACATCTGACAGAGGTCTGGACCCCCTGCTTTTCCGGGGACCTGCGTTTCACCTCGAGCCGCTTTCAGACGATCTCGGGGCCTGGGTACCGGGCCCCCGGGGGCCGCAGACTGCCACCGATTACCAGTCGTTGTTGTCTTCGCTGCGCGAGAAAGTCCAGCTTTCGGGCCACAGCTCGGCTGCGCGAGAAAGTCCGGCTGCGCGAGAAAGTCCGGCTGCGCGAGAAAGTCCGGCTGCGCGAGAAAGTCCGGCGGCCGATCGGGAAGATCTGGACCCCCCTGCAGACGAGGCGCAGTTGCTGGACGGCCTCCGGGGGCGAAGGGGAAAGCCTCGGGGTCCAGCCGAAGCCCCTCGGGGCACCTCCCCTCCACGGCGCGCGCGCGGGCGCTGCCGCGGTGAGACGCCGCGGCGACGGCGAGAGGGGCAGGCGCCCCGTGAGAGCGCGAGGCGGAAGACGCAGAACACACTCGGAGGGACGCGCGAGCTTGTTGGGCCGGCGCGCTCGGGCGCCGACGCGCGGGGCGGAGGGTGAACGACGGGGGAAGCCCCTGCAGGAGAGCAAACGAGCGGCGCGAACAGGAAGGCACTCGGAGGTGAGCGCGGGTTTCACGGCAGTCGCCGATAGGATCAAGTCGGGCGTGTCCCTCTACAGGAGGAATATCAAAAAATAGCTCAAAATCAATCGGGGGACGATTCTTCAACTATTTTTGCATATTTTTGAAAACAAAGTTATGTTTTGACTATATTTTAATTTTCGTCCAAAATCCGCCTGTATGGGGACATGCCCGATCTAACATTATGATTTTGTTCAGTCCAAGGCCCCAGGGGCCGGGGGGGGGAGGGATCAACGGAGGGCTGAAGACGGGGGGCACTTGTTTCAAGTCGGGCGTGTCCCTCTACGGGAGAAAAACTCAAACATAGCTTGTTTTGTTTAAAAAAAGTAAGGGGGCGATTGCTCTATTACTTTTTGAGTATTATTGTACATCCTCTGCGTCTGTTTTATTTTTTCGTCCAAAATCCGCCTGCGGGGGGGACACGCCCGACCTAGCACCTGTTGTGCACGGCGGGGGCCCCGCGGGGCCCCCTGCGGCCCAAAAGGGGCACGAACGGTGCACGTGCCTTCGCCCCCTGCTCTGTCGCCCCCCCCCCCGCGGCTAGGCAACCCCCAAGAAAGGGGTTCCCGAGGACGAAAGGTGCACGTGCCTTCGCCCCCGTTCTCTGTCCCCCCAAGAAGGGGGCCCCCGAGGACAAAAAGTGCACGTGCCTTCGTCCCCTGCTCTGTCGCCCCCCCAGGCTGGGCAGCCCCCAAGATAAGGGGCCCCCGATGGCCGAGGTCGAGGAAGAAGCCCGCTGGCTGAAAAGAAGGGCTGCCCCTGGGCCTCCCAGATGGGGTCCGAGCAGATGGGGTCGGAGGATCGAGCCGCATCGCTGATGCATCGGCGATGCGGCTCGATATGGAGCCCGATTTTCTTCACGCCGGCGGCGCCGATGCGTCGCCGACGTCGCCGATGCATCGGCGATGCGGCGCGATCCTCCGACCCCATCTGCTTGGACGCCATCTGGGAGGCCTCTATTGCTGAGGCCTTACAACCGGTGCCGCCGACCCTGGACGACGACTGCCCCCACGATGGAAGGGGGCATTCGTGAGGGTCGGGATCAGGTGCTCCCAAGAGTGTCCAGGAGGCTACACGAGGCCTCCAAGAAGTGCCCGAGAACCCCCGCGAATTTTTCGGGGTTCGGGGGTGGCGTGGGGGCCTTTTGGGTGCCTCCTGGGGCTAGCAGGCCTCTATTTCTGGAGTCGCCGATGCACCGGCGATGTGTCGCCGATGCGTCGGCGATGCGGCGCGATCCTCCGATCCCATCTGCTCGGACCCCATCTACCAGGAGGCCTCTACTCAGGAGGCTTCGGCCACTCGTCCAACCCTCAAGAAGAGGGATGACGTCACCGGGTACGGCCTCCTGGGGGCCTCTCCCGGGGGGCCCTTTCGGCGGCCTCTTCTTGGGCCTCCTGCCCGTAGATCCGACGTCGCGATTTTTTCAATGCGGGGTCCCCGGAAGTCTCGGCCCCTTCCCGGGGACCGGTTTTTCATCCTGAGTCGTTTTTCGACGGTCCTGGGGCCCGTCGAGGGCCCCCAGAGGCCGAGAGTTGAGACAAGCCTCCGTCTTGAGTTTTCCAATGCGTTGGATCTCTGGGGTGGGGGCCTCGCCGGGCCGCTTGAGAGACTCCCGGGCGCCCGCGCTTCGTGCCTCGGCGTGTGCCCCGGGGGGGGCCGCCTCCCCCGGGGGGGGCCGCCCCCCCCCCGCGAGCGGCGGCTCGCGGCGCCTCGCCCGCGCGCGCCGCTCCTGCGGCGGAGGCCTGCAGAAGCTCGCGGGCTCCGCGCCGGAGGCGGGCGCCTTGCGCCTGCCCTGGGCCCTTCAGTGGCAGAGGGGGGTGAGAGAGAGGAGGAGAGGGAGGGGGGAGGAGAGGGAGGGGGGAGAGGGAGGGAGGGAGGGGGGAGAGGGAGGGGGAGAGGGAGCGGAGGAAGGGCGAGCGAGTGGGCGGGCGGGCGGGCGGACGGGCGGGCGGGCTGGCGGGAGGAGGAGGAGGAGGACGAGGAGGAGGAGGAGGAGGAGGAGGAGGATGAGGAGGAGGAGGATGTGGATGTGGCTGGATGTGGCTGCTAGGTCTAAGCTCCGGGGGAAAGCACGAAGCCCGACGCCTCACGCTTTGCAAACCCTACTTGCAAAGGCGCTCATGTTGAACGGCCTCTTTCCCATATAACGAATCAGTCTACCCTTGGCCGTTCTCGTTCGCGATGGTGTATACCGCCTTCACAATACCGCCCCTTCACACTGACCATCAGAAAGAGCTTGGCCTAAAGCACGGCTGACACCCCAGACAGTCCTTGCTCCCGCTGCCTGTCTTCCCCTTCTCGCACGAGTTGATTCCAGCGTTGTAGCTAGGAGATGACTCGCTCGAGACTCTGGCTCCAGCTTCCTTCCACGTTCTGGCAGTGTTGGCGGAGCCGACCAGCTTTCGTCCGCGCCCCGCCGCAGCGACGAGGGAGGGGATCGCCATCGGGCTCTACCTTCACCCCCCGCTTCTCGCAACCGTAATCTCCCGGCGCCAGCGTCCGCTGCCGCTGCCTGCCCCTAGCGTTGCTGACCGTGGCCCGCCCGCACTTTTGGGCTCCGTCTTCGCCTCCAGCTTCTCCACACTCGTCGGATGTAGCTGGTGGCAGCGGGCTCGTCCTTCGACTTGCCTGTCCACGTCGGGCGCCGACTCCGCCTCCAACCTCCCGCGACCCGTCGGGTGTAGCTGATGGCATCGGGCTCGACCTTCGACACGCATGCCCTGACCCCAGCACTGCAGCTGATGACATCAGGCTCGTCCTTCGCCCCTCGTGCCCCAGACATCCCCCGCAGCGCCAGCGTATGCTGCCACGGCGCGCCCCCTTTCTCGCACGGACTGCTCCCAGCGTTGTGCTGATCGTTGCCCACCCGCGCGTTTCGCTCAGCGCCAGCAGTGGCTGCCACTGTGCGCACCCCCTTGCTCGCACGGGCTGTTCCCAGCGTTGCTGATCGTGGCCCGCCCGCACTTTCCTCTCAGCGCCAGCTTCGGCTGCCACTGCGCGCCCCCTTGCTTGCACGGGCTGCTCCCAGCGTTGATGCTGATCATGGCCCACCCGCACTTCCCTCGTAGTGCCAGCGTCTGCCCCCACTGCCTGCCGCCAGCCTGCGGCAATTCAGCCAGAGCCTGCCACTGCTCGCCCTTCCCGCACGCGCTGATTCCAATGCTGTAGCTGAGGACGTCGGCCTGCAGCTTCACCTCCTTGTCCCGGAACCCAGTCAAACCCTGCTGCCTTGTCCCGCCCTTCTCGCACGCGCTGCTTTCAGCGCTGTAGTTGAAGGCGTCGGCCATCGCCTGCTCGCACGCGCTGATACCAGCGCTGTAGCTGAGGGCGTTGGCCTCCAGCATCGCCTCCGTTTCCCGGAGCCCAGCCAGAGCCTGCTGCCATTGCCCGTCCTTCTCACACGCGCTGATCTCGGCGCTGCAGCTGAGGACGTCGGGCCGTATTCCTACTCTCGCCCGCTCGCGGAGTCGGCCCAGAGGCTGCTGCCACGTGTCGCACGTCGCGCACACGCTGATCCCAGCAGAGTAGCTGGTGAAGGCGTTGGGCCCCTGCGCTTCGATGCCAGCGCGCTGTGAGGCATCACCAGTGCGCGCCAGGAGGAGGAGGAGGAGGAGGAGGAAGAAGAGGAGGAGGGGATGCGAGAGAGGCGAGGACGAAAGGCAGGGAAGACATCCTGGCGCCTCTGCATGCGCCTCTTTACTGCTACGCCACGGCTGGCGGAGCCGCTTCTTGACGGCACCATGCTTCTTGATGGCTGGCGGCTTCCCGAAGCACCATCGCAGGCCCACGCAGGGAGGGGCCGCGGAGGAGGAGAGGAGAAGGAGGATGAGGTTTGGTGCAAACCCCAGAAACATCAGCGATGTTGCAATGAGCCCTCCCTCTTCATGGGTCCATACCAGAATTTGTTTTCAGTGTGGGAAGCTCCCCATTTGAAGTCAATCGCCTGAGAATTCGCAATCGCGCCAAAACGCTATTCCTTGGACTTCAGCGCCGCGAATGAACGTGACTGTTGCTTCCTGTCAATCTTAAACCGTGCCGGAACATCCTTGGGACTTCAACACCGCGAGTGGGAGGAGGAAGAAGAAGAGGATGATGATGAGGAGGAGGAGGAGGAAAAGAAGAGAAGAGGAACAGCAGGAGGAGAGGGGAGAGAGGAGCATGAGAGAGGCGAGAGGAGAGATGAGAAAGGAGAGAGGAACATGATGATGCTGATGATGGTGGTGGTGATGATGATGATTATCATAACGATGATGGTGATGATGATGATGATGAGGAGGAGGAGGAGGAATAGTCAGAGAGGAGGAGGAGGACGAGGAGGAGGAGGACGAGGAGGAGGAGGAGGAGGAGGAGGAGGTGGAGGAGGAGGAGGAGGAGGTGGAGGAGAAACGATGGTGAGAAGAGGCGGGAAGGGAGGAGAAGAGAGGATGAGAGGAGGAGGGAGGAGCAGGAGAGATGGCACCGATGCGGACAGAGTCTGCCCTGGGCGCCCCGCGGCAAGCGAATGGTGCGCCGCGCCCCGATGGCTGGGGCGCAGCATCCGGAGCGAGGGGGCGTCCCCTGGGGACGGCTGCGCTGAGGCGACCCTTGGCGCGCGCCTACAGGCGCACGACGCGCTGAGATGGCAGAGGCCCCTCAGCGGCGCGCGGCGCACCACCACTGGGGGTCTTAGCTGCCTCGATACGCTCGTTTTGGGACGCAAGACGCTCGATTTGCTGCCGCGCTGCCGCGCTGTGCCGAGGCTCTTGGACTTGCGCGCGCGGCCTCCTCGCCTGCCGCTGCCTGCTCCTCCTCCTCCTCCTCCTCCTCCTCCTCCTCCTCCTCCTCCTCCCCTCCCCCCCGCTGCTGCTCATCCTCGGTGCTCCCCCCCCGCTGCTCCTCATCCTCGGCGCTGCTCTCAAAGCGTCCGCGTCAATGCGCTGCGTGTTGGCTCGACACGTGTTGGCCCACGCTTTGGCAAACGTGTGGGGCCAGACCAACGTTTCTAGTCTACGTGTTGAGCTCTGTATCAATACGCTGCGTGTTGCGTGCTGCATAACGGGGCAGCTAAGCTGGGGACCCACTGGGGAAGGAGACCTGGGGGGGCAGGGTGGCGCCCCGTGGCGGAACGCCTCCCCCAGAGATCCGACGCTCCAACAAAAGTTGCAGCCGCGGGTCTGGGGCCGTCTTCGGCCTCCGGGGGCCCTCGCCGGGCCTCGGGGCCGTCAAATAATTTCCCAGGACAAAAAAATGGCCCCTGGGAAGTGGCCCAGACCTCCGTCAGTGCTCAAGAGACGGGGGTCAACGCAAACGGGGGTCAGCCAGAGCGCACGATCTTGCAGGATCCTGCGGGGTCAGGGTTGCATTGACCCGGGCTTGGGTGCAGGATCATGCAGGATCTTGCAGGGTTTTTCGTATTAACCCGGGTTTGGGTGCAGGATCTTTCGGGATCCTGCAAGATTCTGCAAGGCCTGATTGATCCAGTTTGGATTGACCCAGGTCAGCAGATCCCCGACTGTGGCCCACGAATCGAAAAAATTGGAGCGGTCAGATGTTTGGATCACCCGGCATACCATGCGGAGGGTGGTCGGCGTTGGGCGTCGCGGGCCAGGCAGGCGCCACCAGTCATGGCCCACACGCTAGGTTGCAGTGCTTCGCGCAGCGTCGCTGCAGCTCGCGCCAGCGTCAAAGCAATCAGCGCGGCTACAGCTGGCGCAGATGCTTGACCCTGTGATTTGATGATTGCCCAAGGCCCGTTCGCATTGTGCGCGCTCTCTTTCAAGCAAAACCCTCTCCTCCTCCTCCTCCTCCTCCTCCTCCTCCTCCTCCTCCTCCTCCTCCTCCTCCTCCTTCTCCTGCCCCTTCCGCCTGCTCTGTGTCCTCGTGCTTCTCCCCTCCTGCTTCTCTTCCCCGCTCCTCGCCCCTCCGTCATCCTCGCACCCTTCATTATCCCCCTTCTGCTCCTCCTTCGTCGACCACTCCCCCTCATCCTTGCATGGTCCAAATCGCGTGGCACTGGACGCTCGTTAAATGAAATCCTCCTCCTCCTCCTCCTCCTCCTCCTCCCTCCTCCTATTCCTCCTCCTCCTTCGCCTCCTCATCCTCCTCCTCCTCTCCTCCTCCCTCTCCTCCTTTCCCTCCTCCTCCTCCTGCTCGCTCTCCTCCCTCCTCCTTCCCCTCCTCCTCCTCCTTCTCCCGGGCTGCCGCGCCCGCCGGATGGGCCAGTCGATGCGCCTGTGCCTGCGGGGCGGGTGTGCGCACCGATTTCCCTTTCCGCCACCGACGGGGCGCCCCCCCCCGCGGCGGTGGCGCGACTGACCGGTCACGCCGCCTCCCGAGCGGCGCGCCGAGGCAGCGCCGAGGCGCTCAGCCGCGCCGACCGCGGGGGGGCTGGCGCGTCACCCCTCACACGGGCCCTCTGCAGGGTGAACCACCCCCCCCCCGGCCTCGCTCCACGGGCTCGCGGGGCTCGCGGAGGGGCAGGGTGGGGCCGAAGGCCCCGCCACGCCAGCACCTCGCCCTTCTCCACCTCCTCCTCCTCCTCCTCCTCCTCCTCCTCCTCCTCCTCCTCCTCGTCCTCCTCCTCCTCCTCCTCCTCCTCCTCCTCCTCCTCCTCCTCCTCCTCCTCCTCCCCCTCCTCTTGGTTTGAGGTTTGGTGTTTGGATTTTGGTATTTGGGGCTTATGTCACTGGGGTTTGGGGTTTCCGCTGAGGGGCAGGAGCGCCACCCCTTTTCCTCGAGAGCCACTCCTTGTTGCCCAGAGAGCATGTTTTGTCTCGGAGGGGGACGTGCGCCA